TCATCAAAAAGCGTGCCATGACCCGTGAGCGGGATAAGCCCGTAGCAACGGTTCCGAAGAAGGATGTGTTTCTCACTGTTCCTTTTAAGGGAGATATCGCCTTCGACCACTTGAACAGAAGACTTTCTAATGCCGTAGCAAGAACCTACCCGGCCGCCCAAATGCATGTAGTTGCAGAGACCGCTCCCTTCATAGCTCAACGCCTTAAAGACAGACTGCCAGTGTCGTCCGAATCATACATTGTTTACCAGTTTACTTGCACCTGTGGTGCAAAGTACCTCGGGCATACGACCAGGCGTCTGTCGGTACGAATGGCTGAACATTGTCCAGGGTCATTGCGGAGAGGCATGCACAGAAGTATCGACAGCTCAATTATGGAGCATCTGACTCTTAGTGGGCATCAGATTCTGACAAAAGATGCTTTCAAAGTCTTTTATGCCGTACCGAGGCGATACCCGAAAGGGCTAAGGAAACGCCTCCTGCAGACAGCTGAAGCCATCCCGATCAGGCTAACACAACCAGAGCTATGCAAGCATAGGGTGCTCGTGTAACCCTTGACTTTGCCATGGCCCTAAGGATAAGGTTCCCCGGAGTATCTCACTTAACCGGCTGCTATTTATTTGCATAATTAACTAATTTTATTTGGTTAGTAATTTTGCCCTTTCTGTTTACACAAGTTATTTAGCTGTCAGTTAGCCCGATCACGATGTCACCTGATTAAATCGATCCGAGCATCAAATGAACATGCTAAAACTGTTCAAATCGTCCCATCCGTCCTCTTTGTTACTTGTACCAGTTTACTAATGCATTTTACAGTCCTGTAGTTGTATTTGCCTGATGTGAACTGCCGAAAAAAGAGATCTCTTTGCAACATTGTGTTGAAAATGCATACATTTTACTGAGGACGGAAATAAGGCAAATCGTGATACCTAAACACATTAATGACACTCATCAGTCGTGAACGCAATACATTTACGAATCAAAGGTAATTGAATAATGGGAAGCAAAAATGGACCAACCAAGACAATACATAGCATGTTTTAGTTGTTTCTGTGCACATAGCACCGGGTTTAGTTTCGAAATAAGGAAAGCCCTGTCCTCGCTTGAATACAGCGCTCTTAATCGGAACCACGGTACTGCTCTGGTGAACTTTCTCTTGCTCGGACAAGTGGCGGTTCGAATTCAGATAGAGGAGCCCAGATTGACTTAGTCGGCCGAGCATAACACGGAAACCACATGAATACTCGCTACCCCGAGAGAGAGAAGAAGACAATGATCTTTCGGCAAAGCTTTTACCGCTCAAGCGAGAGCAAGCAGGGACGTTGGTAAACATCGTTTTTACAATCTAATATGTACACCATCGGTTTCTTTGTTATGGGAAGCGCAGCTTAGTCGTCAGTTGGCATTGCAATGAAGGTGGTAGTTAGAGCGATGTCAGTAGAGTGACGAATTTACCACCCGGAATAGGTAACACCACGGGAATCATGCAATCGGCGACCTAGTAACAGTGGCACTTGGTGATACAGGGAGAGTTTTTGTGGAAGTAGAAGCCACGGTTAAACTACACAATAATCTGCCTCGACGGGGAATCGAACCCTAGGGAGAGTTGTCACCGATAATTGTCAACCCGTAAATTTAGCGATGATGAAGCGTTACGTAAGCTTCTCATGGCAACATGACTGGCAAACATAAATGACGGAAACAGGTGCCCAGTGTTGCGTTTTGTGTAACCACTAGGTCTCCACGACAATTATACGCTTTTTCATCAAATTAGAGGCGCAGCAAGGGGGCCGCGCGGGACGGTCCGCCCCTGTTTGTTCGATACCAAACCTAAAGGGAAAATTCCCAGATAAGCTGAATGTTGAATATTTTACTCAGGATGAGCAACACATTTGCGCCAAGTGTCACACATGTGTAAACGGTCTTCCAAGCGATTTCCCTCCTTACCTCTTGTAGCCACTTTCACAACGTTTACCTTAATGTCTCAAAAGATCATCCATTTCATAGAAAACTAATGTACACTTTACCCTGAGCCGAGTGGGTGGATTTCACGCACCTATTTTACTCTCAGTCAAGGTGAAAAGTTTCCTATCGCTCTGGGTAAGAAAAGTAATATCACCAAATACATATCGTGTTATTGTGAAGCTGAAGCTTCTCCGGTCTATTACATTCGAAATGATTCATGGATATTGTCAACAATCCCAAAGGAGCCAGCTGACGTAATTGTTTATTGGTTCCCCTGCTTATGCAGGTTATGTCAATGGGCCAGGAATTGTGTGTGAAATTCCAGCGTTTACATTTCGGTTTCAATTTCAGGCCAACTAACTAAACTGCGATAATAGCTCGCTTAGCAAAATGCAGACGGTTATTTAAATAGGGATCTTGTTAGTGAAGCGGTTAACTACCGCTAGTCAAAGGGATCAAGTAGGCAATATTTTTGGAAGCGAAGTTTAATTAAAAAAACGGAGCGACTAGTTGAGGCTTCAACTACCTTCCCATTAGCAGGTGAATTCCATTGATCAGTCATTACGTGTCACGTAAACATTGTCAGTTAGAACACAGTCGCAAGCGTTGATTTTGCACAGTCAGCTCATACAAGAGAGTGTTTGCTGGCATTTAAGGCTCTAGTATCTAGGGCGTCCATTGGTGAACCAATACTGCTAACTGTCTCCTTTTATCCACGGTGATGTCTGCACAGTTTTGCCCACGTCTGCTCCCGCCTGTTTCTTTTGTCATCGTCGCCGGATAACAAATATGGAATCGACCTTGGGGCTTTCAGCACATTCTGAGTAGGTCAAAATTTTCGGCCACCAGGCACAACAGTGCGCAGAGATCTGAAGGAAATTTGGATTATGTGGTATGACACTCAATCAACAATAGAATTTCAAGTGTCCTACGTGTGTGACATCTGTCTTATTCGTCCAAAACCTTGTGCGATGTAGGACACAAGGAAACTGAAGTGGTTCCCATGTCTAAGCAATGACTAATGTGCCGTATTCCGTATGCATTGTTTGCAGCCTTGAGTTGTCTTTGGCGGTTGACGGTCTATTTGGTCGGCTCAGTTGTAATGGAATCCACTCGTGTATTTCTTCTACTGTTTTTATATATTTAACGGGAAAGTTGGTGGGGTGCTAAGCTGAAGCTTTTTGTCAAACATAATGAACAGCGATAGGAAGTCAACATATATTATTTAGACTTGATAGTGCTCAACGGATGTCATGTTGACATATAGTGTGTCGCAGAAATCAAACGACAATCTGTGTAATGAAAATCACCGATATTTTTAAGAGTAAAGCTGCACGTATAAGTCTTCCAAAGTCCACTGAATCGCTTATAATATCCGTTAAGATCCAGAGAATTATTGTGACCAGGTTGATATCAAGTATCTAGGCAGCTAAGTAACATAATTGTAAATAAGTTTGAAACAATTACGTGGACAAACAAATAGAGCGTGCCAGGATAGCCATCCAGCCTGCAAATGTGTTGTTAATAAACTAGTTTCCGGTCAATAAGTGCAACAAAACACTTAAACAACCTCCCCATTCTCCAATTTTGACATCGTGCGATTTTGTCCAATTCCAGAAACTTGAATTGACGCTAAAAAGACTCCTAATGAGGCACCAGAGAAAGAGGCACAAGCAGAAATAGTTAATCCTATGTATAACGTGACATAGTAAAGTTACTGCTATACGTAAAAAAACCGCATACTGAGCTGTATGGAGTTAACGGACTTTAACCAGTGAGGCCATGAATTAAAGCAATTCATCCTAACAGCCTTCGAACTGCTGAATGGATTCAGACCAATAGGTAGGACAGCTCTGACAGCTGAGGGCCAACTACTGTTCTCCGCACAGACGGTAACTTGGATGGCAGTGCAATATGGGTGGCCTATATCGCAGTCAGATTTCAATACCTGCTGGTCAGCTATCCTCTTCCAAGGCTCGATGGCATACTCTGCTGATCAGCCCTGCAATGCACTAGCGGTCAGGGGTACGGTTCCCCGAAGAGGACAGAGTAACTCTGCCCCACTGACGAGTCTCAAGAGGGCTATGAACCTTCGCTACACGAATGCTGAATGACGCGGGGCAATTTCTCCAGAAATCAGAGCAAGTTTAGATCGTAATGTCTATGCGTCTTTCAAAATTCCACTAGCAAAGGTTACAGTACTCAGTGGTTCAGGATCCCAATATCGTCAACAACAGTATGTAGTTAAATGGGCGAAGAGGAAAGTGCTGTCGAAACCACCGCTCACAGCAGACAGTCAGAGGACAAGTCATTTTTCCGTTCTGATTCACATGTTAGTCGATCAAATTGGTATAGACACCATTTTCCCTTCCACCTGTTATTGACGGTGATCTACCGGGATCCCGAGCGATTGAGTAAAATCGACATTACAATCCATACTTGTTCTCAATTCGGGATAAACTGGTCTGCATAATTCAGCGTTCGACCGGCGAACGTTTCAAGGATGAAACAAGCGTCTGTCGTTTTTCTGGATTGGTTATGAACAAATCCGGCTTGTAATATAATTGCGACCAACCAAACAAATTCTATGGGTCGAATAAACAATATCACGGAAAAGTATCTTGCTATTTTTATCCCATACATTTAATAGTTTGAAATCGCGAACCTGTGCTACAGCTACACTGCTTGGTTTCAGGGGGATTCATTAAGGCGCCCCAAACCTCGTTAGCTAAAGTGTGCTGCACTTCAACCCGTTCCCCAGTCTAGTCATCGTGTTTTTACCTGAGCTAGTATAACTCCAGCGAGGCTACGTGAAACAATGTTTTGTTGGAATCAGTTATGCTGGAATCCCTCTACAAGATATCGTCGGCATTGCATGAGCCAGAAGATTGACTCCTCCTGAAAGTTGTATGAAGCTTAAGACTATAGCGGCCGCGAATTCCGGTATCTTCATAGCTCATCTTTCGTGACCATTCGTTAAATCTCCATGGCATTTTGCTTTTCAAAAGTAACGCATTTTTCTTCTTATTTTTAAGGATCGTGAAATTGACCGGCTTCGGAACACCGTCAGCAAGTTGCAGTGCGATATGCAGCGACAACAACAATCACAACCTTTGGTACACTGCACTGGGGATGAGAAACTTCCTCGACAATCCGGTCTAATTCAGGGTAGGTCAAATTAACCAGTTCGTAATACGGATGTGGGACGGTACACAGGAACGGTATATCCAGCTATGCACATTCTACTCTTGAGAATTTAGATGGACCCTTTTGCGCCTAGTTTTCATTTCCCTCATCTAAGGCTGTGTAACAGGACTATAAACAACCAGTTACCGTCTTCAAGTAACGCGCGATTCTAACTCATCAGTAAAGCAGCCGTCCATAATACCTTTTCCATTGTTGAAAGCAATTTACAGAGTTTTGTCTAACAAAGTTAACCGGTAAAATGGGTTTGCGTCAGACTAATCCACACTTCGTTCCGTTTGCTAAGGCTATCGTAATAAGCTGAATGGAGCCAGTTCTGTGTGTACAAAACAATTAGTTTTCAGCTCAGGATCGCCCTAAACATCCCTCACTACTACAATCTTGTTTGATCGCACCAAGGTTTAGCTATATCTATGCGTATCCCTTATGGTTAATGGTACCGAAGAGACAATACGAAATGCATGAATCTGTTAGCTTCTGTCTTCCTAAGGCATCTTTCAGAAGGCTTGCATCGGAATTTAATCAATAAATATTGGTTACAATGGTTGTCATACGCTTTTGTTGGTGATTAGTATGTTTGTATTCATCTGTTTCTACCTTCACTCTGCATTCGAAGAACGGCCTGCGGTCTCATTTGCGTTAACGGCAGTTAACATACGCTAGACACTTTCACTACTGTGTATATTAAGTCGTACAGGCAGACAACTAATCTATACGGGCTAACAATGTGATGAGACGGACTTTGATCTTAGACTATCATTTCTTCGCAGGCAAAGTTAAAGTGAGACATCTTACGGATTTATGCGTCCATAAGATCAAGAAGTAATCATGTTTAGATTACTTCTTTGTTGTAAAGTACCTCGTGTAAAATGCCATAGAGCTGGACTTCCGTCATTCATCGGCGCTGATGTTGAGAATTTCTCTCATCAGGTTAAGAAGATATTAAGTAGCATATCTCTCAATGGTTTATGAAAGGGTATATGGTTAACGGCCTCCGGTTCCGGACTTGCATTCCACTGTGGTTTGCATAGGACAACCACACGACGCCTGCGCCTACAGAGGAATCATGGGTGGCTTGCGTTGCACCATCCACAGCTCCATCCACACACCCCACATCCACTGTAAACCCGAAGGAATAAGACCGGGAGGCATGCGGATGGGAGCCACGTTTCATCAACAGAGCCGGCCCACACTCCTTCACAGGCAAACACAAGTACCCTGTATTTGGGGAGTCAATCGCATATAAGGCTGTGGCTCGACCATAGTCAGCTCCACACTGAGTGCACGAAATCACTAGTTGAGACTAGTGCGACCACAAGGACGGTGCACATAGTGTCCTCCAACAACGACCAACTGTCTTCTGGAGCCAGTATGGACGAGGTAGTGGTTAGTAGACAGGTAGGCAACTTATCAACATGCACATCAAGCGCAGTCACACCGGGGACAGCAGGTAACAGACAATCACGTGAAACGATGATATCAAATAAAATAAAGCGAATAATGCATAGATATACGGTGACACAACTCCTCAATAAACGAGCGTATAAAATAAGTTTGGTTACGAACAGATCTGCGATAAGTTCAAGACGTCAGAAAATATATATTAAGTAATTGCTACAAACGCTAAGATGTTATAGGAGTTAACTAAAATTAGCTTAAGCGACGTGCACAAATTCATAGAAAATAGTTCGAATAGACATTTATATGATATAAAAAGCTTTGGGACAGGATAGCAAACCATCAAATTACAATAAAATGACTCAGCATACAAGCAAGCGGTCGGTAAATTGAATGCAGCCTACCGACAAACCTAACACCTGAAATAAAGAAACTCAGCACGTAAGCACGTCGTTAGTAGATTGAATACATCGTACCTTCCAACGCTGCATAGGATTTGCTTACGCACTCAGCAGGTAGTAGCAGTAGTTACTAGTAATCTCAGAAATCTAGCAACTAGACAAAGAGACAACAAAAATCATGTAGATTAGCGGATAAGGGAAAGTCATCGAGTCTCAATCATCGTGGCATAGTAGTTGAAGGTGAGCAACACACTTCAGCTAATATGTCGCAGGAAGAAAGCAACATTTTGACAAAAAGTAGAACAAAATATTTTTAGCTTGTTTTTCACACGCCGATTTGTTTCGTTTTTGTCATTTTCAATGTTTGAAGTGTTAAACATGTGAATCCATACAATACTGTACAAAATCCTTCCACTGATTCTGGTTGCGGGCCATGTCTTCAAGCGTGTTAAGCCATTGACACTCCTCATCTTTGGGTACTCATCCTGGAAGACGTACGGAGCCAACAGCGACTAGACACGACGTCAGCGATTTCATTTGCTGCCGCCACTTAGAAGGCTGACCACCACGTGGTCGCCTCCAGTCAGATCCTTGACGAACGAATAGAGTGCAACGCGGTAGACGCTCAGGTGCCATGCGTAGGACATGACCGAGCCATCTCAACTTATGCAACAAAACCAGTTTGTTGAAGGGAATACTCGCATTCCCCATGATGCGACGTCGAAGGTCAGTACTATTAACTCGATGTTGCCACCAAAAACACGAACAATCCTCCTTAAGCAACCATCATCGAAGGCAGAAAGACAGTGCATATCTTCCAAGCGATTCGGCCAGTACTCGCTCCCGTGTACAACAATGCTGAGCGAACTGATGCGCTGTAAATGCGGCCCTTTAGTGAGTCCATTCGACTATTCGGTATTGGTCCTAAGTGGCTCCGCGTACGGCTAATTAAACCTGCCTGACTCATGCACCCACGACCACACATGCTACAGCAGCATGCGCTCGATGTCGATGGAGTACACCCTATTGCTGCTTGCCACTTCCGCACTTGATGCTTCCTCTCCGCATGCATGAGGTCTCCTCCAGCACGTCGGAAACGGCCTTCGTGATCATATCGCACCATGCACGCCGATCAACCGCCTTCGATTCCCAACATCTGAAATCAACATTAGAACCTGCTAGACTCACTTTGATCATGTCCTGGTAACGAAACTTTGGTTTCCACTTATGACGCTTCCCAACACAGCTAACCATACAATATCTGCTTCGGTATCCGCGGCGAATCCATAGGCTATACATGACCGAGCCACCTTAAGTGTCTCAACAGAACTATGCAATTCACTGCATATATTACATTTCGGCGCAACTCTTCCGTGTCTGCAAATCTGTCTCACCAAGTGATGCGCAGAAACCGTCGCAGACACTGTGGAAGAAACCGTTCGAGATATCTCACGTCTCGCCGGTACATGGTCCGCGTTTCGCTGCCGTATGGAAGAATGGATAGTACCATGGACGTGGACATTTTCAGCTTGATGCTAACGGTAGGCTGGCGGTTATTCTACGTTTGGTACTCTAGCATCCCGAATGCCGCCGCTGCCTTCGAGATGCGGATACGAAGCTCACTGTGTAGCTGCTGGTCAGTAAAAATCACACTCCCAAGGTCGCAGAAGCGGGAGGTTGGTTCCAATACTTAATCCTCATTACTAATTTGCGACATCATTGCAGATTGCACCTCCGGTGAAGGCTGAAAGAGACACACAGTTTTGCTTGTGTTGATGGTGAGCCCGAATTTGGCCGCTGTCGAAGCCAGAGCACTAGTCATGTGCTGCAACTCATTCGCGCTGTGTGCAAACAACGCACATTCGTCAGCAAACAGCAACCTACGGATAGATGTATCACAGACTAGGTTTCGCTCACTGAAACAACGGATGTGCAGCAACCCACAAACAGTACAATGTACCATAGGAATACCGCAAGCGCAAGCTGCATCATATGCATTGGGCATCATTGCATGAAGATAGATTTTAAACAGGACAGGCGCTAAGACAGCTTTACTTCACACGAGAGACAACTGTAAAGTCATCCGAAGTCTGCCCATTCAGCTGTACTCTGGCCTGCAAATCACTGTGGAGACATTCAATTAAGCACATAATTATTCGAGCAACCAATCTCACCCAACCCTAGTCACAACGCCTCGTGGTTCATCATATCAAATGCTTAGATGAAATTAATAAAAAAGTTAGTAAAACGGCTGGTGTCGTTCTCTAAACTTCCCTCCCCCCCCCCCAACTGACAAGCCGCAAACACCATTTCGATGGTGCAGCGAGCCGAACGGAATCCACATTACTCTTCCGCCACATTCGGTTCCACAACCTGACTGACGAGGCGGTTGAACAAGATTTGGTCAATATCCTTGCCCACACAACTCAGCAAGTTGATGCCACGATAATTCGTGCAACATTGTTTGCTCCCCTTGCCCTTGTACAGTGGTAGCGTAAGGGCATCCTGTAGCTCAGAAGGCATCTCCTGCTCAATCCACACGTGTTACGCCAACTGGTACTGCGTATTCACGAACACGGGTCCGCCGTGTTTCAATATTTCAGGCGGGATGCCGTCGGCACCATCACATTTGTCGCTTCCCAGCTGAACAAGTGCTCTCTGTGTCTCTTCCAGTGGCGGCGTGTCCGACAGATTAGACTTCACATCGTGCTGCTTCAGGCTATTCAATGTAAGCCAGTCGATCTCTGAAGTTCGTTCAAGAAACAGTCAAAGTATTTCTGCCAGATCTGCCTTATGCCTGCAATGTGTGTGCAGGTACTGCCTGAGCTACTATTGATCAGCGTCCTCAGCGACTTCAATCCTGGTCCATACACCGCCTTCAACAAGTCAAAGAGTTCCTTGTGTTGGCGGTGTTCGGCGTAGCATTCCATCTGCTTCGCATTCTCCGTCCACCTTGCATTTTTTATGAGACCGGGCTCTCTAGTCAGATGCTCTCAAATATTGCGAATCTTACTCTTCTTTCCCAAGTCGCCGGGGTCTGCGATATGTGCAGCAAACGCTGCATTCTTCTCAGACACCAATGTGTCAATTGTCGCATTGTTCTCATCAAACCAATCGGTCCGCTTACAGTTTGTTCGTCCGATGGTCTTCTCAGAAGCAGTTGTC